ACCTGCAGCGGTCAAGAGAGTGCACAAAACGCGAAATTTAGAAACACTAGGCGGCCATTAGTTGGCAGAGGTGACTAAGCCCGTCACGACCTTGAGAGAGAAGGATGAGGGCTGTCTGCAAGCTGCAACACTAAAACGAGTCTAAATTAACCAGACTTGGGCAGTCATCGTTGTCTCGTCCAGGTGATAAATTAAGCTATACTGCAAACAGGCGCGCACATGCAGGCGTGGTGATGCTCTAAGGCGTGGAGGCCCGCAGAGGTCGCCAAAAATACGATTGCCCGTGTTCGATGCCTAAAGATCACCGCCTAAAAATAGCACGCACATACACCAGCGACACAAACCTTCACGTGCACCAAACACCCTAGTCAGTGGCGGAGACGACGAAAACATATGCGCACACACAACCCGAAACCAGTTCTGGCACCGGCGCGCGAATGAGACATTGTCCTATCGCCCAAAAGTCAAAATCATTACGCCTTGACTCGTACCTCGTATCCTCCCAATGAGTTTTTTAGCCCACCTGAACACTGGCGTAGGCATGATCAAGAAGCAGGCCTGTTGTATAATTTGCACACTTTTAAGGACAACCCAGTAGCATCTTAGCCTTGAGGCAAAAGTCAAAAGATGTCACTATTAATGAATTCGCTATCTACGCAAGCACACTACTGTTGTTGAGACAATACCACACAATTCCAATTAACTTACCGTGCCCTTCTAAAGTTATTTGCCCATCACCTCCTTGTTAAACCCCTTCATGGTGCCGCACACGCTCATGCCTACTTTTACGATTCCAAATTTTATCGAAAGAATCAAATTGTGCTCCATCTGGTCAACATTCTAGCCACTTAGTCCCAAGGTTCTTACATAAACTCATTCTTTGAGTCCCTCCACACCAAATTGATCGTGTTTCAAGAGATGAATTTGATGAGTGCGTTTCAAGTACAACAAAGTTATATCATGAACCTCCAAACTTACAATTTCCGCCCGACCTTAGAGATAAATGGATGCCTTTAAGCTCTCTTGTCAATTGAGTACCAAGCAGGAAATCTGGCAACTATACCACTGGTTGTCCAAATGACACACACCGACAAGAGGGGGACTACCAACACGGTTGAGAGGACGATTAGTCACCAAATCGGTTTGTGCCTAATGGCCGCAGCACACATTGTGGGGAAACTAGGCCATCATCGGCGCTGAGTGCATGTCACGAGGGTATGCACACAGCACTAGCAAGCACAGCATCTTTATCACATCGCCAACCCCGGGTTGAGGTTCGGGTATAGACGTATGTTCTGACAAAGGTGAGGAATGTATAACGAAAACGAACCTAGCAAGCCACAACTGAGCGTTGGGATAGGCAGTACCGGGACCTGTAGGGCTCCACTTGATGGTATAGATCTCTTTGGCATGACCTTGCAGATCGTGGATACACTGATCACTGTTCATGTCCCACACTTTTAGCGTCCGATCATCCGAACACGAGGCCAATAGTTCTCCATTGGGGTCCCACTTAATTGCATTCACTTCGTTCTGGCGTAGGGATAGAAGGTCAATGTAATTATCGGTCACATAAACAATGTTTCTCGCTATGGCAACGCATCAAAAAGCCCAGTTATTAAGTTCACCAGTTGTTATGACTATGAGGGGGTAAGGTAAAGGAAGAAATGGATGAATGACCTTGAGACAGAATGACCACGTTATCACAGAATGTACGTGCGCGCGCACTTGCTGCTAACACTATTAAGGAGGAAGCGCATATACACACAAATCATAAAGACACAGCGCACGCGCACGCGCACG